TCAAAACCTCATCTATGTACCATCACACAGCATGCATATCAATAGATCATTTCAAAAAGCTAGAAATCCACCTTTTAGGGTGAAGCGTATGCATGTGTGAGAGTTGTGGTCGCATAAGATCTTAGTGACCTTGACTTGTCTCTAGGGGAAGACCTGAAATCCACAGACTGGCATTACGATCCCTTGGCTCATCCGCCAGACTTTGGTGACCCCTTAATGAGCCCCTGCTTGGACTGTGGGTCATGGAAAACACTAGGTCGGTCTGATAAAACAAATGTGGTTTATAGTCCACAGTTGAAAGTGGAGTGCCCCATGATTGTTGATTTCTAAACCATATGAACCTTTTTCCCATCAAATTAATTTAATTGTGTGTTGTTTTATGATGGAAATTATTTTAAGATTATTATTTGAATTTTTATGAACCACTAGATATGTTATTTATAATTTTTAGATTTATAAAATTAAAGATATTGATTTTACAATTGTTTAAATATTCAAATAATATTCTAAAATCTTTTTATCAATTTTAAATATATAAAAATATCATGGGGGGCCCATTTTGCACATGGGCTCACCATATTTTCAGAAGGTGGGCCGCATGAGTGCCTCCCTTGTGTGGCACACCCCACCCTTATTCTCTTTCCTATTTTTTGGTGATATGGCATGTGGCTATATGGTTGAAAGATATTGACTAAATATTGACTTGATATATCTTTGAAAGATTTTGTGGAAAGATTGATAAACTTGTGTTATTTTATGGTATGCACAATATTTTGATTAGATTTAATTTATTTAATTTCTATTGATGGAAAAATGGTTTAGAAAATAGGGATAATGATTCTTGCACGTTCATTAATGTTGATGGCCTATCTATGAAATGGATGGCTCAAATCTCTCATCCACAAACCACCCTTAATCGATGGTCTATATTCAATATCACAAGAAGAGGCAAGCCAAAGAAAACCCTAAGAAACCCTAATCTTATTCAAAACCTATGAAAATGGATTGTCTCTACTCAAAATCTCTACACCTTATCTTTTTATTTCTCTCTCGTGTTTGATCTCTCTCTCCCCCATTGAGAAAGAGCCTAAGGGTTTAGGCTATGAAGTTCTTCTCTCTCCTATCTCTCAAATATGGATTTATGGCTAAAGGTTTTAGCAAAAAGAGAATCCATCTCTCTCAAATTAGGTTGTTAAAGAATTCAACTAGGGTTTGAGTTTGTGATCAAAGGGGTTCATGTTCCATTGGTGTGGCTTGGGCGAAATTTGCTTTCCTGGTTCGAGATTGAAGCTAAACCTTTGATCCCATGCCATCAGATGGTGGTGACTCGGTGTGGAATGTAATAAGCCCGGTTGAAGTAATCTGAGGCACTCTTCCTTTTATTTCTTGCAATCTTATCTTTTATTCTCAAACATAGTGCATAATTGTTTCAATGGCATCAAGTTGTTAAGATCTTGATTTTATTGTTATGTTGATTTTATTTTAAAATTTATCTTATCATAATAAAGACCACCCGTAAGTGATCTTTTGCCAAAAAAAAAAGGTAAATTAATAAATAAATAAATAAAATATATTTATCACATAAGCCTTTCTTTCGATTAGTATTTTACCGAGGGAGGAGATGTATAGCATATGCTTACAAGGGAGCATAATATTCAAGTACCATTGCACACGCTCAAAACACGAATATTTTGACCTGACGACGGTCGTAGACACTGCAGTCAATAAAAGAGGAAGGTCATTGGTCTCCAAAACCTCATTGGTCTCCAAAACATGCTCTTTTTCGACGTTTCTGGTTAAGAACCCTTTAAAGCATCACCAATCTCCAAAACTTGCCTTCTTTACTACGTTTCTCGTTAAGAACCCCTATAAATCATCAACCACTAAGGGTATATCTCTTCCCATTCTTTGTCCCCAACTTCAAAGGATATGAGCCCCCTATTATTCATCCTACTCCACCTTGCTCTTGCGCTCTCAAATGCTGCTCATGCACAGCTCCTTTTTCAGGTGAGCACAGGCCTTGTCCTTGATGGGCTATAACATGGGCTAGATGATATATAAAACACTGGCCGGGAACCAGCCGATAGTTTGGCAGAATCGGACCAGCTCCTTTGGTTCCTGATCGAAATGGGCCTGTTCCGGTCTGGTTCGCTGTGTCTTTAAACACTGTATTATTTGCTACACCACTGGATCATCCACAGTGTGTATTGTGAAGGTGGTGGTCAGTCATGGCGTCCAATCACCATGGCAAGTCTCGACCATCCGTTGTTTAGAATGGATGCTAGATACCCCTATGGTGTGCCATAAAGCATACACATCTGGCATACAGTAGGAGATTCTTTTCTTTTCGGGAAGAGAATGCTTTCCTCTCTTTCTCTTTTTTAATACCCACCAAGTGTTTGAATGATGCTTACTCTGTGTACCCAATTTTCTGCCATGCCATGGTTATGTTTTTGTAGGGTTTTAACTGGCAGTCATGGAATAACACAGAGGGATGGTACCGCCATCTGAAAGGGCTTGTGCCTCAGCTTGTGGAATCCAGCGTCACACATGTCTGGCTCCCTCCTCCCTCACAATCTGCAGCCCGAGAAGGTACACATCCAACAGAAACTTTTTTTTTTTTTGAAACCATTATCTGAATTAGAATTGTTAGCCATTCACCAATTATGTGTGCTACATGCTTCTTGTGTACCTGTGTTCTTGAAATCGTCAAGCTGGCTCATAAATGGTGCGGTGTGTTCCGGGTCTAAAACACTTTTTAAGTCTTTTCTAGTTAGGGGCTGGTTCTGGATCCAAATGACTTGGACCGACCCGGGTGGGTCTGGTACAAAATATATATACTACAGTACGTCTAGTATGTTTTTATTTTTTATTTTAGTATTTTTAGACTCAGTCTAGGTTGGATATTGGTCTGAGTCGGGGTCGACTGGACCTAACCCGACCTGACCCATTGCTGCCCTTATTTTTTGGTTCCCAACATTTTCTACTTGTTTACTTTTTAATTAAAAAACACACTTAAAAAACAGCAAGCTAGCTAGGGTAGTTTATTTGAACCAGTGTTTGTAAAATCGAATCGGAACGGTTAACCGGACTTGGGCCGGGAAGTGGTTTAACCAGCCTAATTAGTAAACTGGTCAATTCAACCGTTCTAACCAGGCAATTCTCGGGCAGTCAAAAAAGTGTCGAAAAAACAATAAAAAAAAATATATTAAAATATGAAAAACATATAAAAAATGATTAAAACAAAACACATTAAAATAAAATTGAAAATTAATAAAAAATAGAGATTAACCTATTTTATATTTTCTAAAGGCTATTTTTAAATTTTTTAAAACAAAGAAAAATATAAAAATGAGTATTAATGACCAAAAGAATTTTTGATCTTTACCATAATATAAAGAATATTTAAAAATGCATTACAAATCAAATTCCTTATTTTTTAGAATTTATATACATTTTTTAAAATTTTTGTTTTTAAAATACCTGTTGATCACCCTAACTGCCCAAAACTGGAATTGGCCAGTCCGATTTAACCGGGCGGTTAGCGGCTTAGATCGGGCGATTTTGCGAACCATGATTTGAACCAATGGTTTATAAAGGGTGTCATTTGTATAAGGTTGCAACATTAAACAATAAATTAAGGCGAACCTCCAAATTTTATCATAAATATAATTTTGGTGTCAAAAATTCATAAAATGGCTTGAGAATCAATTTTCATCTCTAATTATAAAATCTTAAACTCCAAAATTGGTTCAAATCAAGTAGATTTATAAACACTTGAAAATGGACGGTTTAAATAATATGTTGCAATATATACTATTTTTAGGACTTGAAATCTTTTTTTCTTTTTATATTCATACATCTAGATGTCGAGATGATCAATTAGAGGGTTTTCCAACATCAAAATAACTTTTTACAATAGATTTTTGAGACGCACCTTACTTCAGCATTTTAAGGCTGCAACCTTGTATTAACTTGTTCTTTTTTCTTGTGTACCATTGACAATGTGTGCCATTATACTAGACACCTTTTGCGTGCACTATGTACCATACACCACTTGCACTATGTACCATACACCACTTGTGTACCATTTAGTTGATACGACTCCTGCACTCTAAGCAGTACACTTTTCCCGTTGTAGGCCATGCACCACTCGTTTATGGTATCTTCGGGTCCTCAGGTAGTCTTGTGGCTCACACCTCACCATCGATTTGCAGGATACATGCCTGGAAGGCTCTATGACCTTAATGCTTCGACGTATGGAACCGAAGCCGATCTGCGTGACCTGATCAAAACTCTAAATGCCAATGGCATCAAGGCGGTCGCTGACATCGTCATCAACCATCGGACAGCAGAGACGAAGGACTCCCGTGGCATCTGGGCAGTTTTCGAAGGTGGCACCCCAGACGATCGCCTCGACTGGGGGCCATGGGCCATCTGCAAAGATGACAAAGAGTACTCCGATGGCACTGGGAACCTAGATACCGGTGTCGATTTTCAGCCTGCACCCGACATGGACCACTTGAATCCCAGGATCCAAAATGAGCTATCAGAGTGGCTCAATTGGCTCAAGTCTAGTATAGGATTCGAGGGTTGGCGCCTTGACTTCTCGAGAGGCTATTCGGGCAAGCTTGCCGGGATGTACTTCGATCGTAGTAAGCCCGATTTCGCAGTGGGTGAAATATGGAGTGGGCTTGTGTATGGAAACGATTCGAAGCCGCAGTATAATCAAGATAAGCACAGGCAGGAGCTTGTGGATTGGGTTCATGAGACTGGTGATTTGGGGATGGCCTTTGATTTCACAACTAAATTGTTGATGAATGAGGCTTTGAAGGATGAGTTGTGGAGGTTGAAGGACGGGAATGGAAAGCCAATTGGATTGATTGGGCTTTTGCCTGAGAAGGCAGTTACTTTTGTTGATAACCATGATACCTATTCTCAGAACCTGGCTCCCACCCCTAGAGACAAAGTTATGCTTGCATACGCCTACATTTTCACTCATCCTGGAATTCCCTCTTTTGTAAGCCACCCCACTCTCTCTTTATATATGTTGTTTTTTTCAATTATTATCACTATTTTTATTTTAAATTTGAGCACTCTTCCTCTCTCAGCAATAAAAGCAAAAAATTAAAAATTAAAAAAAATGTATATAATAAGACCAATTACCTTTTAGCATAAGGAGATTACAATTATTATCAATTGTTGGATGTCAAATTAGACGGTTAAGGGTATTATGTTATTGACTGAGCATAAAGTTCAAAATATATTTTCTTGAATTATGTGACGGTTTAAGCTAGTATATTCTATATCCGATGATTAGGAGTGATTATGACTTCATTGTACAAAAAATGAATGGGTCTTCTAGTAAATAGTCTCAAAATTTTAAAAAGTAAAAGAATGTACCATTACTTTGGGAGGAATCTGTCTAAAAGATCTCTTTTTACAACATCCAAGATCATTTTTTTCTTTGTATTTTTTTAATCTACTTACATGAGGAAAAATTTGTAAAACCATTACATTCAATAAATCATATGCTTTTGTGGTTTGGAAATTAAACTTTTGGTTCCACTCTTAAATTATCTACTTAAAAAAGCCGTCCTCAAAAATGATAAAATTAAGAAAATAAAAACCCTATCCCCTATTTCTTGAATTTTCCTTTTCATGAGAACTCTTCGACATCTCTGTGAATCTTATTTTTTTTGTTGTCTACAACAATAAAATAAATAAATAAATGTTATTTGTGGTTTGGATGCAGTTTTACGACCATTACTTTGAGTGGGGCAAGAAGACTGAGATTGTTCAAATGAGTGCGATAAGGAAGAGGAACCGCATCGGGCCAAAGAGCGCCGTTCGCATCTTGGCTGCTGATTCGGACTTGTATGTGGCTGCGATTGACGAGAAGATCTATATGAAGATTGGTTCGAGGTACGAAGTGGGTGACCTCGTTCCCTCTGATTTTGAAGTGGTTATGTCAGGGAACGACTATGCAATATGGGAGAAAAAGAAGTGAACAAAAAATGAGTGCAACTTCTAATTCAATAATGGAGTTTGCTCCTATGTTAAAGAATGTCATGAAATATAATAATACTTATTAATTTCTCTTATTTAAATTGATGATGCTTCTACTATGTCTATCTATTCTTTTAAGGAAAAGTATACAGTGCGACCAAATATCTTTGGACCAAATATTAATCTTGACCCTTGGATGTGAAATTGGTTGGTTGTATTTAGTGTATTGATTATAGTCAAAGTTCAAAAGAATTTTTTTTTTAAATATAAAGGTGAAACCCTAGTATTACTATATTTACAGTACGTGGTGGTTTGTACTCTTAGTAATTTTTTTTTTTTTTTCCAAAATAGTTTAGTTTTAGTAATATAGAACTATTCAAGCTTCCTTGTAATCCCAAAAATTAGTTAGCAAATGAGGTTTAGGTCATAATGCTAAGAAAAACAATCGATAGTCACTTGTAAGTAGAAACTGGATTTGTATGCACTTATAAGTAGAATTTTAAAACCCAGAATCAGAGGAGAGGACAAAATTGGTACTAGCCGAATGATTCTGGATCTCCATAAGGGAATCGGTCTAAAAAAGTAGTAATTTTACATTAAAATTTTAAGAAATTAAAAAATAAAATTAAAATAAAATGAGTGGAATGGGGCAAATTGGTTGATCTAGATCACCCAATTCCCTAATAGAATTGCCATGTTTTTTGAATTAGACGAGTCTATCAAAATTAGTCTGACTCCTGATTTTGACTATGAACCAGGTTGATCCACTTATTCCCGATTTGGATTCATGATTCTCGATTATAAAGTATTTATTAAAAAACAAAATAGTGATTAGAAGAAAATAATATTAGTAGAAAACTAAGATGTGGCTGCACATGGATCATTACTTAACAACTCAAATGGATCCAAAACTAAAAGCGAAAATTTTATATTAGGTATCATATAGTATTGAAGTGACCTCCACGTCGGAAATCTTACAAAAAATATTGTTGCACTAGTGAAGAATCCTCTACTTTGATCATCTCAACCTTGAGATATATGGATATATATATAAAAAAAAAAGTTCAAATCTTAGAAATAGTACATATTGTAAAGGGTATTGTATAGAGCCTAGGCTCTAAACAATCAAATTAGAGTCTACCGTTAAATAGTGTCAAGAAGTGTGGTTTCAATACCGGAAATCTTTGTTATAGCTTTAAAATATATTTTGATCTTTATTTATAAGTTTAAAGCTTCAAAATAGTGTTGATCAATAGATCTATGAAAACTTGAAAATCTTGAAAATTGACAGCCAAAAAATATGTTGCAAAATACGGTATTTTCAAAACTTGAAATCCATTTGTTTTCTCATGCTTATACATCTTGATGTCGAGATGATCAATTTGAAGATATTTGGGCATCAAAACAACCTCTTCTAGTAAAATTTTTGATGTAGGCTCAAATTTGTTTGTTTAGAGCCTCGGCTCTATATAAACTTTTTCCTTTTCAAAAATTTCAAATATTTATAAATTTGCTCGATTTGTTTCATTTTAATAATTTTAAATTTTATAAATAAAAAAATTATAGATTTTCAAGCCATCATAAAGTTGATGATACCATAACTGCATCTCTAAACAAAACTTAGATAGGGCCGTTACTTTTACAATAAAATAAGAAGTCAATCTTGTACAAACTCCACGAAACAACACATAAGTATTAGCGCCCTCTACAATAAAATAAGAAGTCCATCTTGCACGTACTTCACCCAAACAACACAACTATTAGGGCACCGCATCAAATTCTTGTCGTGTGAGAAGCATGTGAGAGAGAAACGAACAAATCAATGAAGCTTATCATACGTAACGTAACAAAGTTCCTTTAACAGCATGGGCTCTTCCATGTTTAAGAAATATCCATTTAGATGGCTATTAATCCTATGACTATCCAGTGTCTCAAAACCCAAATTCGCATTGTGGATGGTATATTTCGGAAAAAGTTTAGGTAAAAAAATATATATATATATATAATATTTATCTTTATTACAAAAATACATTTTAGTTTCCATTATTACATGTATATTTGTTTTTTGAACTACCTCATATTTTTTTAAAAAAACAAAAATACCTATTTCTGAATTTTCAGTATAAGAAATTTCAATTTTTGAAAAAGAGAGCTTCAAACATTTTAATCGGAGAAACATCTAGAGCGAGAGTCAATCCCGTTGCATTCCTATTCGCGAGAGAGAGAGTCAAATTCAATTCCTCTGATTTGAGATAAACATCGAACTAGAGACATCAATTCCTCTGCACTGTTGCCCCAATTCCTTATCCAGAGCCAAAGTAACCAGAAAAAAACAACACGGAAAGTTAGAGAGAGAGAGAGTCATCAAACCCACTTCAACTCCACATGCTTCAACCCCATATCGGAATTCACATTCTCTTTCAAAGCAGCAAGAATATCAGAGATACTTTATCAGAGAGCAAAGCCCCGCCAGAAAATTGTGATCAATGACCCCTTCTCCATCAATGACATGAGCGAAATCAATGAGCTTCACAGCCCCACCATTAACCCCATATCTCTCATACATTATCGGAACCGAGGCCGAATAAAAATAGAAGAGAATCCGTTCCTCGAACCAAGCTTTCAGAGCCAGAAGCTTCTTCTAAACTCCCATTTTCCCCACCATGAGACTGAGCCTGCAAATTTACAATCCGGCTTTGCTTCCAGATCCGAACCCTTTGAAGAAACGAACCTGTCTAGATCCATCTTAGCCCCTAGAACAGTTAACCCCCTGACCGAATCTATATCCGGTTTCCAAAACCCTAATTCTTCACCAATATCAAATGTTTTAAGTTTTCTCTCTCTATAAATGCTTTTCTCTCTCTATAAATTCAGATTTTCAAAAATCGAATTTCTTAAAATTCAGTTTTTAAAAACCTAAATATTTTAGAATTTTTGTTTTTGAAAAATCGAAAATGGATAGTTCATCTTTTAAAAAAAATGTACGAACTAAATGATATTTTTGTAACAATGACAAATATAACAGATATACACGTAATTTTTTCAAAAGTTTATGTAGGGTTGCAACCTTAAAATGTATAATTACATATGCACCTTAAAAATCCATCGGAGAATATTTTTTTAATGTTGAAAAATCTTCTAATAAATCATCTCAACATTGAGATGTATAAATATTAAAAAAAAAAAATTTCTGAGTACAAGAAATAGTGCATCTTACAACACATTATCTAGGCCGTCTATTTTCAATATTTTCATATGTTTATAGATGTATTTGGTATTAACTATTTTTAGAGTTTAAAATTTTATAATTAAATATAAAAATAGATTTTCAGATAATCATAATAACTTTTTACATTTATGTTATAATAAAATTTGGAGGTACATCTTAATTGGATTGTTTAATGTTGCAACCTTATAGAAACCATGCCCTTCCACATGTTTGTATTGGATTCAAATCGATGTTCTTGAAAAAAATAAAAAATAAAAAATAATAGAGGTTTATGGGAGGATTTGGGGGGACAAAAGAAATATTAGATATGATTTTCGAAAGGAAAACATATGGAAGCTTAGTTTAGGACCGTGCTAGTACCACAGCCGATTCAGTCTTGATTGGTGGGTTAAAAACACTAATACAATCGAAGTACGTAACGTGTTATAGTTGTTTACGTGTCACGAGATTTTTATAAGAGATTGTATCATACGAGACTATTTATCTTTGTTATAAAGAGGTCACAATTATTCTAAACTATTAAATGTTAATTTGGACGGCTTAAGATACGTTAAGGAGTTAATAAATTTTTTCATTAAATTTTGAGTCTAGGTAGTGATATTTTTACAACTATCTAATTTGAAATCCAATGGGCAAGAATTATTTACAAAAAAAAAAAAAACATTGATGAAGTTTTCTTTATTCAAATATTAGATTTGTCCAAACATGACCTAAGATTTAGATTCCAACACTAAATTGATTATTTCTCAGTTTAGTAAATTGTATACTATGAGAACATTTATCTTTTTTACAATGAGGTCATAATTACTTTTAGCTTATTAGATTTTAATTGGATGGCTTGAAATGTATCATGGAGTTCGAAAATTTTTATTTTTGATGAAACTTTGAGTCTTTTAAGTGACATGTACGCAACCACATGATTTGAAATCTAAAAGACAAGATGATATTGTCAACAAAGATGCTTTTATTTTTTGTACGATGTCACAATTATTCTCACTCATTAGATGTCAACTTAGATGGCTTGGGGTGAGTCATGAAATTCAAGAATGTTTGTTTTTGGACATTTATGTCTATTCAATTGCTACTCTTACAACCACCCAATTTGAAATTTAAGAGACAATTATAGAAAATATAAATGGTCTCGTAGACAATCTCAAAAGTAAGCAGACTTTTGTATACTTTTCCTTTCAATTATAAATTTATATTGGGTGTGGTTTCTATAAGGCTGCAGCCTTAAACAATCCAATTAAGGCGCATCTCCAAATTTTATCGATGTAATTTTGGTGAAAAAATTCTTAGGATTATCTCAAAATCTATTTTCACATCTAATTATAAAATTTTCAACTCCAAAAATGGTTAAAATCAAGTAGATCTATAAACATCTTGAAAATGGACACTCTAGATAATGTATTGCAAGATGTACTATTTCTAAGATTTAATTTTTAATTTTTTAATTTTTTTCATATTTATACCTCTCAATGTTGAGATGATCAATTAGAGGTTTTTTCAACATTAAAACAACCTTTTTCGATGGATTTTTGATATGCATGTGTAATTCTAAATTTTAAGGTTGCGACCTTAGATAAATTTTTTCCTTCCATTAAAAGTTTAAAAACTTAGTTCTTATGCTACAATGTCTAGTGCCGCTTACTAGTGCCGCCTTTATACTTCGCCTAATGTATAGTTATGAGCAGGCTTTCTATACTTCGCCTAATGTGTAAAACTTATATACTTCCCCCTATCCAACCGTTCATTCTGAATGGGCGACTGAGATGATCCCAATCACAATGTTACATCTTTATACTATTTTATTTTTAATTGTTTTCTAAAAAATATTTTGCCACCAAAATTTGGGCATCCACTCCTCACTTAAACTTGCACATGCAAAAAAATATAAAACAAATATTCTCTATAAAATAAAAAGACCAAAATTTCCCTAAAAGTTTAATGGTTATTTAAGTCATTTTATTTTTATCAAAACATTTTTTAAATATGAAAAAAGTTTGTATAAGGTTGCAACCCTATACTGTTGAAGAAAGGTGCATCTCAAAAATCCTACTGTGGAGAGTGTTCCCAACGCTCCACATAGGAGAACCCTCCAACTGATCATCTAGACTTTGAGATGAATGGACTTGAAGAAAAACAAGATTTTAAGTTCCAAAAATAGTACATCTCGTAAAAAATCATGTCGACTGTCTGTTTTCAAGATTTTTAAATGTTTATTTACCTGCTCGATCTGTATTATTTTTTAAATTTTAAATTTTCTAAGTGGGGTTTAAAAAGAGATTTTGAAGCCATGATAAGATTTTCGACGCTAAAATGATATCTCTAAGTCAATTTTATGTTGCACCTGACCTCTACATTGCAAGGAGGCATCCTTATACAAATCTCACCCTTTAAAATCAGTCAAAACTCGTTTCATATCAATTAGAACGTGTCCCATGATGCGTTTGGCAGAGCATGAACTTTCTCTCTCTATCTTCCCTCCGCGCTCGACTTCCACCTGCTCGAAGACAAGTTCTCTGGTTAAGGACCCATATCCACAGTCGTTGTTATTGTGCTCTTATTCATCAAGATTTAGAGAGAGAAACTCAAAAAAACCAAGTTCAAAGGTTAAACTGCTCCTCCTTGAACACTGAAATCTGTGATTGCATAAAAAACTCAGAGCATAAATGGGCACTGGTCCTTTTAAAACTTTCTCTCAAATCCTGTATAAAGCCCAATGGTTTCACTTTATCTCTGGTCATAAAAGCTTGTGCTTCTCTCTCTTCTTTACCAGTGTTGAAGCAGATCCATACCCATGTCTTCAAAACGGCCTTCGATCACTGCATCTTTGTCAACACCGCGCTCATCGATGGCTATGGAAAATGCCTTGTTATGGAATTTTCTCAGAAAGTGTTCGATGAAATGTGTCATAGAGACACCGTAGCTTGGAATTCACTGATTTCTGGTTATTCAATTAATGGATATCTCTTTCATGCTCTTGATGTCTTCTCCAATATGTTAATGGAGGGCGTCGGTCCTGATTCAACAACCTTGGCCTGTGTTCTTCCATGTTGCTGGCAAATGGAAGCCATAATGCATGGCAAATGCGTTCATGGATATGGGATCAAAGCTGGAATGGATTCTGATTCTTCAGTGATGAATTCGGTTATGGCCATGTATGCCAAATGTGGAGACATAGATGATACCATGTTTGTTTTTGATACCATGCCTCATAGGAGTGTGGTTTCGTGGAACACCATTATAGCTGCTTATTGCCAATGTGGAGAAAGTTCACATCTGTTCAAGATTTTCAGACTCTTCAATCAAATGCATGTAAATGACATGAAACCCAATTCGGTTACCATCATAAGTATGCTACGGGCCATCACCCATAGCGATTTCATGTCACATGGATTGGCCATCCATGCCTATGCTATAAAGTCTGGCCTTATGGATAACACCCATGTATGTACATCGCTAGTTTGTATGTATGCAAAGAGGGGGAATTTAGAATGTGCAATCTCGCTCTATGATTCAATTTCTGAGAAAAACCTGGTTTGTTTAACTGCACTTCTAGCTTGTTACGTTGAGAAGGGATACTTTGAATTAGCTATGAAACATTTCTTTCATATGCAACAGATTGATATCAAACCTGATGGCATAACCTTAATAAGCTTTCTTCAGCCAATTTCAAGTCCAAACCATTTGGATTTTGGGTTGATTCTTCATGGCTTTGGGATTAAAAGTGGGTTTACCTCTGATATCAAAGTGATGAATGCTATTTTGAGCATGTACTCAAGGTGTAAAAATCCAGAAGCAGCTTTTTCTTTCTTCAACGAAATGCCATTGAAATCTCCTATTAGTTGGAACACCATGATTGCCAGTTATGTGCAGACTGGGAGGCCAGAAAAAGCTCTGTCCTTCTTCCACCAAATGAAGTTAGCAGGTCACCAACCTGACTCAATCACCATGGTTGAATTGCTATCAGGATGTGGGGATCTTGGGCTCCTACACTTCGGAAAAAATCTTCATAACCAAATTCTCAGAAGCAGCTTCAATATTGACAAGTATTTAGCCACTGCACTCATAGACATGTACTCAAAATGTGGAAGCATCAAAAGTGCACTTACAGTTTTCCTAAATGAGAAAAATCGAAGAAGCCCTGCAATATGGAATGCCATGATCATGGCCTGCAACTCTCATGGATTGGAGAACAAAGCCCTTCAGCTCTACAAAGAGATGCAAAGCCATGGTGTGAAACCAGATAATATCACATTTGTTGGAGTTCTCTCTTCCTTTTGCCATGTAGACCTTGTCGATGATGGATTACACGCATTGAGGTTCATGACTGAGGATTGTGGGTTGACTCCAGGGGTTCAGCACTATGCCTGCATTGTGGACTTGTTGGGACGAGCAGGTCGATTAGATGAGGCAGTGAAATTTGTAAAAAAGATGAAGGAAAAGCCTGACTCTGTAGTTTGGGGAACATTGCTTGGGGCTGCTTGTATCCACCATAATATTAAGTTGGGGGAATGTGTGGCTAAGCAGTTGTTCCTTTCGGATTACCGAAACAATGGGTTTTATGTCCTCATGTCTAATCTTTATGCAGCTGAAGGTAGGTGGGATGATGTTGCTAATATAAGGAAGGTGATGAGAGATGTGGTTGGGGTGGATGGTAGCCATGGTTATAGTCTCCTTGAAGTGCGTAACATGTCTTATTAATTCCTATCGGAAAGTGGAATGCACCAATAGAAGAATTTGAGCTGGGGCAACAGCTCTGTATTGGCAATGATCTAATACTGCCCGGCATTCCAAAGAGCATTACTGATTTTAAACTTGAATTGCATAGTGAATATTTCAAATCAGTGATGGGAACACCGGCATTATTCGTATTTCATGCAGTCAGAACTTTTGTAATGCATGGTAAATACCATTTTTCAGTTGTTCTTAATAATAGTCTGGGTTTGCATACAATGAGGGGAGTTAACTTTTTGTAAAAGACCTCCCACCCCTTCCCAACCATCAGATGTGACCTCGGATGCCTGTGGTGTGTTGCGTCTCTCCGCACACCTGTTACTTGAAAGGGGAATTGAAGGCCAAGGTTGAACCAATAGTGGGATCGTAACAAGGATGATTTGCACAAACCAAAACATTTGTCCAATATTTCAATCCAAAAACCCAACAATTAAAGATGGAGAAGGGTTCGGAGAAGAATAGTTAGGACAGTTGGGGTGATTACCTTGTGGGGTCCAGCCCCATAAGAAGTGAAAGGAAAAAAAAACCCAACAAAAAAAGGGTGAGAGAGAGAGTAGGTTTTAGAGAGAGAACATAGAAAGTAGTTTTAAAGAACAAAACGTAAAGGTTTTTTTTTGGAGACACCATTTGCAAGCAAAGATAGGGTTCTTTCAAGGCTCGTAGAGAGAAGAAAGTGCAAGTTTGTAGCACAGTTTCTATCACCGTTTAGGCCATTCTATATGTCATTTTTGCTATCTCTCAGGCTCAACACTCAGCTGGAAAGCCGGAATAGCTGGTGTGCTCTCCAGTTGCATCTCCAAGCCATTGGAAGACCATGTTTTTGGGTTTTTTTAGGTGGGAAAGAGATGATCTTGTTGGTGCTTGTGATGTAACGTTGTATCTTCTCCAAATTATTGTTGTTATCTCATTTGATTGTATGTGGGCAAAAACTTGAGAATAAACTATATTGTAACCGTAATTTGATTTTAGTGGATTCATCTCTCAGATTTGCCCTGTGGTTTTTCCCTTCACATTGAAGGGTTTTCCACATTAAACCTTGTGTTGTGATTGTGCTTGGTGGAACTTTCCCTTTTGTGATTTGCGATTTCTAATTTTTTTGGCACTTAGCAAATTGTTAATTTTCAGTATTTGAACAAACATACATTGTGGGATGTTTTTACCTTTGACTCACACATAGAAGGGAAGAAAATTACTTCCCAACAACTGGTATTAGAGCATTTGCCCATCACGGGTTTTGTTTTATTCGTGTGTGAATCAAATATGGATGCAAATATCTTTACACAGATGATTAGTTTGAATGGGGCTAATTGGTCAATTTGGAAAGCTAAGATAGAAGACCTTCTCTATTCAAGAGACCTCTATTTGCCAATTGAGGGGATAGAGAAGAAGCCGGAAACAGTCACCGATGGTGATTGGAAGAAGTTAGACCGAAAAACAATTGCTTTCATCCGGCAATGGTAGAATGATACCGTGTTCTACCATGTATCAACAGAAACTAATGCAATTTCCTTGTGGAAGAAATTGCATGATTTGTATGAGAAAAAGACGTCCGAAAATAAGGCAGTTTTAATTAGAAAACTTGTAAACTTGAAGTTTAAGGAGAACGAGTCAGTTGCAGAGCACTTGACTGAAATGCAAAGCATTGTAAATCAGTTGGCGGCTATGAAGATGGTGTTAGATGATGAGCTACAAGCACTGTTGTTGTTGAGCTCGTTGCCTGACACTTGGGAGACCCTCCTTGTATCCCTTAGCAATTCGGCACCCAATGAGATTGTTACCGTGAGCCAAGTTACAAGTAGTTTGTTGAATGAAGAAGTGAGAAGAAAATCTTTAGATTTCTCCCATTCACACGAATTAGTAACTGAAGAATGGGGGAGACAAAAGAATAGAAAAAATCATAACCGAAACAAATCAAAAGGGAGATCCAAGTCGAGCAAAGGAGTGACTTGTTACTATTGCAAAAAGCCCGGACATATGAAGAAGGAGTATCGGAAGTTCAAAAGATATCAAAAAGAAGGAAAATGTAGTGATGGAAACAAAGAATATCAGGAAACTACTGCAGTTGCAACCGGTGACATTATAATCTTCTCGACGGGTGGTGAAGGTTGTGTTAGTGCAGCGTGTGATGATTCAAATCGAGTGATTGATTCAGGAGCATCCTACCATGCTACTTCAGACAAAGATTTCTTTATCATATACAAGTCGGGAGACTTTGGTTCGGTAAGGATGAGAAATAATGGAGTATTTAAAATGGTTGGAATGAGTGATGTTTGAATTACTACCAATACCGGCTACAAGTTGGTCCTCAAAGATGTGAGACATCTTCCAGAAGCAAGAAATGTTGTTTTCTCTATAAGACCGAAGCCCAGCTATCCAAAAGTGAGGTGAACACTACCTTTGAAGAATCTTTATCGGATTTGTGGCATCAATAACTTGGTCACATGAATGAGAAATGTTTGGAGATTTTGGTGAAGAGAAATTCTATGCCAAGTCTCAAAGGTACGTCCTTAACCCTTTGTGATCATTGTTTAGTAGGAAAACATCATAAAGTTTCATTTTCACATTCTAAAACTAAATAGGATACTGAAATACTTGATTTAGTTTACTTTGATGTATGTGACCCTAAGACTGTGAAAACTCTTGGTGGTGCTTTGTAGTTTGTCATTTTTATTGATGATGCATTCAGGAAAGTTTGGAGTTTTGCCATGAAGAGCAAATACCAAGTATTTGAAATTTTTCAAAAGTTCCATGTCGTGGTTGAAAGACAAACATCAAAGTCCTTGAAATGCCTTCGTACAGATAATGGTAGAGAGTACACCTCAAGGAAGTTTGAGGACTATTGTGCCAAGCATGGCATACGACATGAGAAGATTGATCCCTCCACACGGCAACATAATAATATTGCAGAAAGAATGAATCGTACTATAATAGAAATGATTAGAAGTATGCTTTCTTCAGCTAAGTTACTAAAGGAGTTTTAGGGTGAAGATATGAATACGGCGTGCTACTTGATAAATCTATCTCCTTTGGCTCCATTGGAAGGGATGTGCCAGAAAGAGTTTGGATCGATAATCATGTATCCTACTAACACTTGAAAGTCTTTGGATGCAAGTCTTTCATACATGTACCTAAAGAGCATCGAAGCAAGTTAGATGACAAAGCAATCCAATGTGTATTTCTGGGTTATGGAGATGTTGAATTTGGATTCAGGTTGTGGGATCTCAAGGCTAAGAAGTTGCATAGAAGACGAGATGTGATCTTTCGTAAAAACAAAATACTTTCCGATTTTGATAAGGAGGAGCCGCCAAAGAGGATTGTAGATGAGCTACCAAAAGCATAAGCCCTTTTACCTATACATAATGATGATGGGCAACAAGTTCAAGATGAAGATGACCAAGTTTGGGCTGGTGAGACTCTTCAAAATGATGATGTACATGATGATGTTGAGCAAGAGGAGTAGCCTCCTCAAGAAAACCACCTATGGTGATAAGGTCACAAAGGGAACGAAACGCCTCAACAAAATATCCATCATTAGAGTATGTCATACTCACTAAAAGTGGTGAACCAGAAAGTTTTAAATAAGCTATGGTACATGAGCAAAATGAACAATGGAAGAAAGCCATACAAGAAGAACTTGAATCCTTTCATAAGAATAAAACCTATGAGTTTGTTGAGCTACCAAAATGACGAAAAGCTTTGAAGAACAAGTGGGTATTTAGGTTGAAAAATGAAGATGACAAGAAGAAAATGAGGTACAAGGCAAGGCTGATTGTCAAGGGATTCGAGCAGAAAAAAGGCGTTGCCTTTGATGAAATATTTTCTCTCGTTTTGAAGATGACTTCTATTCGCACCATCATAAACTGCTAGTCAAGACTTGGAGATTGAGCAGTCAGATGTCAAGACAGCTTTTTTTGTATGGAGACCTAAAGGAAGAAATATATATGGAACAACCAGAAGGTTTCCTAGTGAAGGGCAACGAGCACATGGTATGCAAGTTGAAGAAGAGCTTGTATGGATTGAAGCAAGCTCCACGACAATGGTATAAAACGTTCGACTCTTTTATGATGAGTCATGGTTTTATTAGAACCACTGCAGACTACTGTGTTTAACTTAGAAAGTATTTTGAGTCTTCCTTTATTATTCTCATGTTATATGTTGATGATATGCTTATCGTTGGTCAATATGCTAATTTGATTGACAGGTTGAATAAAAAGTTGAACGAGGTTTTTAACATAAAGGACCTGTGTTGCAAAACAAATTTTGGGCATGACAATCAAGCGTGAAAGGAAGAACGAAAAGTTGTGGCTAACACAAGAAAAGTATATTGAGAAGGTACTTGAAAGATTCAACATGAAGAATGCCAAGCCAGTCAGTACATTATTAGCTAAACAATTCAAGTTGAGTGCCAAGTTATCTCCAACCAGCAGTGAAGAGAAGAAGAAAATGGAGAAGATCCCCTACACATCAGCTGAAGGGAGTTTGATGTGCGCTATGGTGTGCACAAGGCCTGACATAGTACATGCCACTGGTGTAGTTAGCAGATACTTGGCAAATCCAGGCAAGCAACATTGGGACGCCATAAAATGGATTCTAATATATCTAAGAGGCACATCTAAAGTTTGTTTATGTTTTGGAAACTCATCACCCTTGGTAGAAGGCTATACGGATGCGGATATGGTAGAAGATCTTGATAGAAAAAAGTCTACTTCGGGTTACTTGTTTACTTTTGCAGGAGGAGTAATTTCTCGGCAATCAAAGTTGCAAAAATGTGTCGCACTTTCGACTATAGAGGCGGAGTATATTGCTGCAACAGAAGCCTGTAAGGAGATGCTATGGTTGAAGCGTTTTCTTATGGAGTTGGGTTTGAAGCTAAAAGAGTATGTAGTTAGATGTGACAATCAAAGCGCCATTGATCTGAGCAAGAATGCTACATTCCACTCTAGGACCAAACACATTGAGGTACGATACCATTAGATTCGAGATGTCTTAGTAAATGGGCTGATGAAATCCGTCAGACATGATGATGAAGACAGTGCCAAAGGAGAAGCATGAGCTATGCAGAGCTTTGGCATGCATGGGTGCCATATGAGCGTCCAGTATGGGGGAGCTCTCCTCATGGGGTCTGGAAGGGGTGTTTGTTGGGGTGATTACCTTGTGGGGTCCAGCCCCATAAGAAGTGAAAGAAAAAAAAACTTACAAAAAAAGGGTTAGAGAGAGAGAGAGAGTA